AGTTATTTTGTGTAGATACCTAATCCAACACATTTGACGCAAAATTTCGCAAAATTTTATTAAGCTAACATGCCTTGCGCTGTTAGAGAATCTTGTTCATAATATCCTAAAGAATATATCTACAAACTTTCGTGAGTTTTGGATACTTCATTATTAAAATATAGACAAAAATGTTATGCACTACTACTTTTGCCAGGAAATGTAATATTCTTAAAATTATTTTAGTAAGTATTCTTAATTAAAACTTATTCTTTTATTAATATTTATTTTTTTATTCTTATTAAGATTTATTTATTTAATTCTATTAAAATTTACTAATATTTATTTTTATTAATTTTATATTATTATATTTATAAAACAAAGTTAAATAAAATAAAATAATATAATTAAAAAAAATTTTTTTTAATTATAATTATTTAATAATTAGAAAATTCAAAAAAATAAATAAGATTATAAAAGATCTAATTATATTTAATTTTAATTTGTAATAATTATTAATAAGAAAATATTAATATTTAATATTTTTTTATAATAAAAATATTATCAGTTTTAATAAATTTATTTTTAAAATTAATAAATAAATTTATAAGAGTTCTGATAATTTTTTTATAAATATATTTTTATATTAATATATATATAATCTTATTAAAGTTTTTTAAAATTTTTTGATTTAATAATAATATAATAAGTAAATTTAAGTAATAGCTGAAAATAATGCATCAGAGATTAATTTTATTAATAAAATATAATAAAAATTAAAATTTTCTCTTTATATTAAAATTTACAATTTTATTAAGAAATATTTTTTATAAGCTATAGTTTAATATATACTTTTTTCAGATTTTTCTGAAAGAGTTATTCTAATTGAGAAGTCACCACAAAATCTTTTTCTAATCAAATTTCATTTTTAATTAAAAAAATTTCATGATAACTTGCAATTATAACAACTCTTTCAGAAAAAATCTAAAAAATATATATTAAACTATAACTTATGGACTTTATTTTGATATAAAAATAAAAATTATTTCTTAATAAAATTATAAATTTTAATATAAAGAGAAAATTTTAATTTTTATTATATTTTATTAATAAAATTGAAATCTTTTGATTATAAGGGAATTGAGCCAATGACATTCATGAATGGTCGGATAATTTTTTTTAATTTTTTACCGTGATTGTTATTACATGTACATAGCTAAATAGATCACATTGCTGGAAATTATCAATGATCTCACGATTTTCCAATTCCAATCAATCATTATCGTTATATGCTTTAGTAAGAAAAAATTTTTGATACAATAAGAATTGGGTGTAACCTTAAGCAGTGCGGCTTTTTTTAAAGATCGTACTATAAACATGTATCTATCGATTTTTTCTCAATATCTATTTTTCTTACCGGCAGCGATTCCGGAACCGGTCATACGATGTGGATTCAGAATCTATATATACATTTTCACAGTACATGTATCTCCTCCTAACAGTGCTATCCATCATCATTGCCATATACATGTATATCGATATTTTTTTTTGATATTCCCACATTCCCACATATTATTACCAGATAACACACACACGGATTTCTGACCCCCATAGTAAAATTTACACAATGAGTGAGGCCAACCCCAATAATAATAATACGCTTACACATTATAATGACAATAATGTCAACGGTCCACCAATAAAACAACAATATTCTGGACCCGAAGAACCGCTTCACCATTATGACAACAATACTGATATTAATGGAGAACCAAGAGCAAAACGTAGATTGAGAAATTTTCCTATTCCACAAATTCCTTCGACTCCACTTGCTATTCCTACTAGCGTCAGCAATAATAACACCACCAACTATGATGACCAAATCAATATGAACAACTATAACAATATCATTAATAATTACAACAGCAGCAGCATCACGCAAATGCGGCAAAAATTCGATGCGGTAAGCTAAAAATCAAAGAGAATACGCAAAATTTTATTTTCTAATGATTGACGAAATCCGTTTTAAATACTATCATAAAGTTTGCGGAAGCCAGCTACAAAGTGTCAAAAAGTCTGGAGACTTTTCAATGGGCACTTGAAGATTTACAAAGAATTTCTTTTTCTCCATCCACTGCAAACCATCAAGATCCGTCATCACCATTGTCATTCCCGACGGTGCCTTCATCGTCGACGATCGAAGTGTAAGAGAATATCTTGTTTTATGTGACTCATTAATTTCGCGCAAGCTTTAAATTTTATATTTATATTATATAGACCAGGGTCTTCACCTTCAAGAACTGTCCCGACGGGGCAACTAGCAACTCGTTCTAATTCTCCAGACCCTGTTCCTCTAATAAGAGTTGAACCAACAGTTACGTTTTTCGATGAAATATCAAGAAGATCTCTCACAATAGTTGATGAAAGACCAACTTCGCGAACTTCCTCACCCGAAATATTTGGCAGCTTTTTATCTTCTTCAGCTCAGTCTCATCATCAAAATATAGTGTCTCCTTCGTTATCTCCAGCAGAAAGTCGATTCCCAAATATAAGTCTGAGGTTACTACAATCTCCTGAAGTGGAACATCAATCGCCGTCCGCATCTCAAAATTCCACCAACAATGATCAGCAAAAAAAAAGATTTGTGCCTACTCCCAGAGCCGTCGTCATAGGTCAAGATGGCCGCATTTGGACTTTAGAAGCGCGAGTTAAACTAATGGGCGAATTTATTAATTACTTTCGCAAACGACAAGAAAAAAATAGTAGAGTGAGCCATACTACTATAAGCGAAGAGTTGAAACGATTGATGGGTGAAGAACCAAATGATACCAGTTCAGGGGTGAGTTTGGATCATCTGAAAAGACGTATAGGTAAATATTTGAGAAGACAACATACGCCATCTGATCCTGCCGTCTTGCAAGCTATCGTCGATTGGGTACAACACGAGAAGGAAACTTGCAATGCTATCGATCATTTTGGAATTTAAGTTGGTAATTTTAGCATATACAGTATATTCATATTCAACTTTAATCTCCTTTTTTTTTAAGATTTCGTCTCCCTTTTGATTTTAAAACATATGTATATAATATATGCACATTTTAAATTGCTAACACAAATATCTCAAAAGTTCATTGCTGAAAGTATTTTTGCCTTCAAAGTCTATATCCGCAATTCCAACAGTATTGATTCCCAGAAAGTTCCCTATCACGTGTAAAAAAAGGCTTTTGATCTGCCTCCGACAGCAATCATTCGATATCCTCTTTACCAATTAAATCGTACAATCAATATGTAATGCAAAAATTTATGTTCTAACAAAAAATGCTCCTTATAAAATTTTATATAAATATGATTTATAATTCTAGTCTTAATTCTATTTCTAATTAGTATTGCAAAAGTCATATTTGAAAATGTGTACAGAAAAAAAATATTAATGATTAAATTACATTTATTAAAATATAAAGAAATATTTTTAATAAAAAAATTTTTGCAAGCTATTAAATATATATACTTAATGAAAATTTCTGTAATAATTATACAAATTCATAATTACTTTTCAGGCACTTATATTTTGTGTATTCGAAAATTCAGCAATTTCTGGAAATAAATTAAAAATTACGATTTGCTATTACATGTAATTCTTATCATTATAGGAATCATTAATAATATCGTTATCGAAAGGGAATTTATATTGAATCATCTTAGCCATTTTTGTTTTAATTTAAAAATAATATTGTTATAGGAAAGGTTGACTTGTATCAAATTTTAATTGACAATTTTAATAATTATTTCTTTAAATAAATTCATATATAAGGTATGTACAAGTACTTTTTATATATCTATATGCTTTCTTAATCAGATATATGATTAATTCGAAGAATATAAATTATGTTTTTATATACAGTCTGCGTGGAATGTAATGGCAGACAGTTTTTTAAAAATAAATAAAATTTAGAATAATAATCATATATATAAATTTGTTTTAGAATGGCTTATAAACATGGCTTTGTACTCTTAAAATATTTGCATTCAACATGCCTTCTTTCTGCGTCAATGCTAATTTGAATGCAATTTGGCATAAGAGTGATGTCTCTAAGAACTACCTTCTCAAAATATACCATATTTTTCTCTTTCATTAATAAATGAAAAACCTTTTGCAACATGTTCAGCTTTTGTTATATCATCTCCTTTTCTTGTCTTCACTTGAAAATAACCATATATTATGCATAAAATTGAGATCTAGACTTTATTAAAACCATAAAAAAATGGATATAGTACACAGCCACAAAAATTTCATGAAAAAAGAGGCTTTATATGAATAACTAAAAAGTAAATAATTGAATCTGAGTATTTTTGTAAAGATAAATATTATATCATTTAAAAGAATGAATATGAGTATAATTTATTTAAGAGATTTTTGCAGAATTGTAATGAGATTTAGCCAAAAGCTCATCCATATCTCAAGGTCTAGTTTTTGATGATAAAGAAAGATGATTATTGCGTGCTGGTGACTAGTAAACAGGATTACAGCATATCGGCATAGGTAATTTATTATGTCTTGTGCACAACTGAAGTACACAACTAAAAATCTGTCCGCTATTACATTCCGTGTGGACTGTAGATAAAAACGTTTGTTATAAAAATGTAATATTCATATAAATTTATGAGGCCGTCAACATAATTAGCATCAAATTAAAGAAACTAAGTATCCGGAAAAGTTAGACACAAAGTTTACTTGTAAAGACTAATAAACTTTATTAAATAATAACGATTGTAAAGCTTTAGACGTAGTATAATTTAATATTATGTCAATGATAATAAGAATATACATGTATATATTATCTCATAACTCTCGTCACATATGAATATAATTAGTAATTAACTCTAAAAAATTCAATATATTATCTGCCCAATACTGACATGCATTAATTAAAGTCGTTTCAAATTACGATTAAGGAAGGTTCATAGATTATGGATAATCTTTTGATCATAGAAATCATTCATTTATAAATAACCTTATTAAAGATAGCCTATTCTTTTACTATCTCTGCAGCTACATGTATTTTATAATTAATGTCATTAGTACCATATAACGGTACCCCGTGCAGTACTATGTGTACTATAAAAGGAGGGTATTAATATAAGTAAATACTAAAGAAGAGTCTGACGGTGACAGATGTTAGATTGACCAATTAATTATAAATTCAAAATCTCAACACTGACAATTATATGACCGACACACGAAATTTTGAAGGAACGGCATCCTGAACGATAGAAATCCCGAACGAACGACATCCCGAATAATAGAAATTCCGAATGAACAGCATCCCGGATGGCGAAATCTCAAATGAATGCACGATATGTGGAATGTGTACGTTCAGGGTTTTGATCATTCGAGATGCCGTTCATTCTAGATTTCGTTTGTCGGGCATATGACTGTCGGGATTGTGTTTGTCGTACCGGATCCCTTAAAAGTATATAAGAATCACTAAAATGATTGTTTAAATAAACCGATGGATGCATTTCGCAAATTATATTTATGTAGTAACGGTAATATTAGTCTCCTGAATTGTGTTACATATATTTTTAAAATCATTCCATTTAAAAATACCCTACCATATTACGTGCTGATTGTTGGGATGATTAGTACCAGGATACTATTCAAAAATATCTCCAATTGGAGTTGAATAATACCCCTGTACTATACAAGGGGGTACTTTACTAAGGGGTACTGTAGTAAGCGCTATACGGTAAGGCTTACCTTTCATGCATTTACTTCGGGACACGTTATCCCAAACTTTCTGAAAAAATGAATTAGGAAATTTTGGTATAATCTTTATTTATCAAAGTACGAAATGAATTTTCGTCAAATAATATTTGACCAAAATATATTTTTGATGCATTATGAAAGTGTGTGTTTAATACATGTAATCGGCATTTTAATTATATTACATGGGTGATCTTGTTGTTGAACGTTTTAGAAACGACTTATGAGGTAAATGCCTTATAAGAAAAATCACCTTGTAAAATTTACAGAGTTATAATAAATATATCGTATACGACATTTATAAAGGAGCACGTCCTACGAAACCAGATTATGTGCATTCTCGAATTTATTACTGAAAAACTTTGAGACCCTATTCCAGAAAACAAATCTACAGCTGAGGAACTTGATTGAGTTTATCGAATCTATCGGTGATGAAGATTGGGAACTTAGGAAATGGGATCGTAAGCAAGCATTTCTACAAGCAAAAACCTTCAAATAAAATTTGTACCAGTTGATTCTTTACTTCAAATTAATATCAATCCCAAGTTCTACTACAGTGTACGCATATTATTTTTATATTATTATTCCTACTGAATATATGTATCATGAAGTTTAAATTATGTATAAATTTATCAATCAAAAAGTTAGAAAAGCTTGCTTTTCATTTTTTTACTACTTGAAATACCTCACAATCATCAATTTAAAAGATATTTCTTGACCTTGTTCCCTTAAAAGGCCAACCTCATAAGATTGTTTCTTACAACTATTTGAAGGAGTAAACAAACCCAAGTCATAACCATGACTACCTCCGAAACAAAGACCAATATCCTTATAGTTCCACACACTAAGACCAGATTTATATTTACTTAAAACTTCACTGGATCCCATAATGTTATCAGAATTAAATTTGTACAAAAACTGCTCTTTGCTTCATAAGAACAATATTTATTAAGAGATTTCCATTCAATGGGATTGTAACCACCGATAATTTTGTTAGAATCTTTGATACGTATAGCAACAATGGTTGATCCTTTATTAACACATAAACGGTGAAAATCACTAGCAGTAAATCCGCCACGTAATAATAGATTAAATTTAAATGGATAATTTTTTTGATTATCTTAATTTTATCGATTTGATCTCGAGAAAGAATTGTTGATGGGACGAAGCGATGCTTGTTGTTCTTCACTTCCAGGTACCAAATAATGATGCAACAAATCTTTGTAAACTTTTTTTGGTAATATTTCCGAATATGGCAACATTTTATTCTAGAAACGAATTAACGGTATACAATTTTTGAGCGTAGAGCTGAGTTGATTGAATTCGTTTGTGACCATTGATCCACTGGAATCGATAAATCGAATTTGCCAGAAGTTGGCGTTTGAGCGATTCCCCACTCAAAAACCTTTTCCCAAATTTAATTTCTTTAAGATTTCAATCATCTCATTTGAGCAAAGTGATGATTGCTGTTTCTTGCATATTTGCGAAATCGTTAGATTGAAAAATTGCAGCCGGATTTTTACACGTAAACTCTATACAGAATTCCTGAAGCTTGACAAAGGAATTATGTTGAAAAGCGGTTTGATTAATTAAAGCAAAATTATCAATTATAGATTCAGCATGCTGCTCCAAAAGGTATTCTTGAAGATATTCAATCAAATCAATTCATCGGCTGCAATCAATAAATCTAAAAGTGCCGGCACTCCATGATCTGACAAATCGATCTTACCACTGTATAATGTACAGCCATAAAAGTTAGTTTGCGATCTAATAAACTTAAAACTAAAGATTACCTTAGATAAGCTTTCAAAAATACGCGGTTTAATATTTGGTTTCTTAAAGACGATCAGTTTGTTGGATTCTCGTTTTACCACGCATCAGAAAGAGCAATAGCAAATATTCCGAATGCGCCACTAGTATTGATGAATGCGCAGTAAAAGTTCGCACAGTATTTCGAATATCTCCAACAATGATCGAAATGTCGCAATATTTGGCATTTTCATAAAACTTTGTGCCAATTTATTAGAGTTAATAAACAGTCAGTCTTCATTTAAAAGTTTTTTTATTTTTCTTTTTGTGATTACGATAAATTTAATGATAACGTTGTGTTTGATAGTGATACATCGCTGCATAGCACGTGGACTCAACCTTTGGATAATCGCTTTTTGTTTATCACCTCTACTTAGAGGGTCATGTTAAATAAAATTCAATAAACCACTGAC